CCTTTTATTCCACTAAGCATAGTTTGGTTTTATTCAACAAATGATCAAAATGTATGTAATCACAGTTTTGATGTTTTCTCACTTTGTGTCCTCAGAGTGTCGATATGTCTGCTGCCAGCTGTCTGCTGACTGAAGATCAGTTTCTGTGCTCCATCTGTCTGGATGTGTTCACTGATCCAGTCACCACACCATGTGGACACAACTTCTGTAAAACCTGCATCACTGAACACTGGAGTACTAATGTCCCCTATCAGTGTCCAAACTGTAATAAGGTTTTCTACACCAGACCTGAGCTGCAGGTCAACACTTTCATCTCTGAGATGGCTGCTCAGTTCAGACAGTCAGCTCAACAGAAAGCCAGCAGCAGCAGCTCAGAGCAACAAGTTTCCAAACCAGGAGAAGTTCCCTGTGACGTCTGCACTGGAACCAAACTGAAGGCCCTGAAGTCCTGCCTGGTGTGTCTGGAATCCTACTGTGAGACTCACCTGGAGCCTCATCTGACAAGATCAGGCCTGAAGAAACATCAGCTGATCGACCCTGTGGAGAACCTGGAAGGCAGGATGTGTCTGAAGCACGATAAACTGCTGGAGCTGTTCTGTAAGACCGACCAGATGTGTGTCTGCATGCTCTGCACTGTTTTAGACCACAAGACACATGATGTTGTTCCTCTGAGAGAAGAATATGAAGGAAAGAAGGCCGAGCTGGGGAAGACAGAGACTGAAATTCAGCAGATGATCCAGAAGAGACGACTGAAGATTGAGGAGATCAAACACTCAGTGGAGCTCAGTGAGGAAGATGCAGACAGAGAGATAGCAGATGGTGTTCAGGTCTTCACCGCTCTGAAGGAGTCTGTTGAGAGAAGCCAGGCCGAGCTCATGGACACGATCAAAGAGAAGCAGAGAAAGACAGAGAAACAGGCTGAAGGCTTCATCAAAGAGCTGGAACAGGAAATCTCTGAGCTGAAGAAGAGGAGCACTGAGGTGGAGCAGCTCTCACGCTCTGAAGACCACCTCCACCTCCTCCAAAGCTTCATGTCCCTGAACACTGCTCCACCCACCAAGGACTGGACAGAGGTCAGCGTCCGTCCACCTTCATATGAGGGGACTGTGAGGAGAGCTGTGAGTCAGCTGGAGGAGACGCTCAGTAAACAGATGAAGAAGCTGTTTGAGGTCGAGCTGAAGAGGGTCCAGCAGTCTGCAGTGGATGTGACACTCGATCCTGATACAGCACATCCCAAACTCATCCTGTCTGATGATGGGAAACAAGTAATGCTTGGTAAAGTTTCTAAGAATCTCCCAAACAATCCAGAGAGATTTGATATTTGTGTTAATGTCTTAGCAAAGCAGAGTTTCTCTTCAGGAAGATTTTATTATGAGGTTCAGGTTAAAGGGAAGACTGAATGGAATTTAGGAGTGGCCAGAGAGTCGATCAACAGGAAGGGAAGAATCCCAGCAAACCCCCAGAATGGCTTCTGGTTATTATCTTTGAGAAATGAAAATGAGTACTATGCCCATGCCGACCCTTCAGTCCGTCTCTCTCTGAAGTCTCAGCCTGAGAAGGTGGGGGTGTTTGTGGATTATGAGGAGGGTCTGGTCTCCTTTTATGATGTTGATGCTGCAGCTCTTATCTACTCCTTTACTGGCTGCTCCTTCACTGAGAAACTCTACCCATTCTTCAGTCCCTGTGTTAATGATGGTGGTAAAAACTCTGCCCCTCTGATCATCTCTCCTGTCAATCAAGCATGTAGGAGCAGTTTAATCAGACGAATTTCATTTTAACTCAAACTCATAGCGTCAGTCACACAAAGTAGAACAACCATCTGATTTCCTACAGAAAGATTCACTCTCATTTAATGTAATAAATGTATATTATTGGTGATGTACTGTGAATACATTGTTGATTTTTTAGATTCTGATCAATGTGGTTTTTCCTCTTATTTCTGTAAATGGTTTCTTTGATGTGTCACGTTGCCACTTACTACTACAACACAAAGATTTAATCCCACTGCTGATATTATGTAATGTAATCTTGTTTATTCCAATGACTGCATTAACTGCCTTAAAGACCTTTGAATCATCAAAAACAAATGTACTCAGTCTATATAGTGATAATGTGAAAAATGATGGAAAGTGTACAGGACTGCTTCTAAAACATTCAAAGGTCTAATGAAATAATTAGGCATGTACCCGATTATGTCAGTTGGATCAGATCCAGCCGTTTAATACGAATATTCAACCATTCTTTTTGTATTTGTTTTCATATACAGCTCTAACGTTTGAACAGGGCTCAGCAGGACGTTCAGTGTGACAGTGGAAATCATGCAATATAGTTAACAAGCTAACGACAGATCAGAAATGTGCAACATTTTCTGCACACACCACATATCAAAACAAAAGCCAGAGACTGTGTCGTATTAAGTATCTGTGAGCTGTAAATTCACCACTTCCAAGCAGAGGATGGAAGATTATTTCAAAGCCTTAAGGTGGAAAGCTTACAAAGTTTCAGAGTTGGAAACACAAGGAACCGGCCTGGAAAGTCATCGAACGTAGAGCACAAGCACAGTATGTCAATGTGTGGGTGAGAGTGAGTGAGTGAGTGAGTGGTGATTATGGTTGTGTCCACACATCGGATTAAGGAAACCTTGACTTTGACGCAAAGAGGTTGTCCAGCTAAGATTCCTGTCCAACTTGTATATGAAGAAACTTCTTCATATATCTTGCAGTAAAGAACCTCTTTATTCAATTCCTGTGCTATACATTCGATGACTTTCCAGGCCGGTTCCTTGTGTTTCCAACTCTGAAACTTTATAAGCTTTTCAGTTTTGCCCTTGACCTTGGTTTTTATTTTGTCACAGAAAATGCACTGATTTGGAAACAAGAAGGAACACCGAGTCCCTTCAGATTGATTTGACAGAGATTTGAGCTGGCGTAGGGAGCCCTTTATTGATGATGATGATGATGATGATGATGATGATGATGATGATGATGATAATTCTCCAGATATAGAAGCCTTTGACGCTTTTAAACCACCCAATTTCCATGTAAAGCTTTTGTAGTAGTTTTGATGATAGCCAGTTTCATCCAAAGGCAAGCGCTCTAATGTCAATGGTATCTGGTCACAAATATCCTTCATACCGTACGGTGAAGTGGCTGGTTCACAGAGTCTCATATCACGAATACTGTGGTAGATATGATAGCCTCTCGCTGTGCCCTCCCTTGCATGCACTAAGTGTGGTAAAATGACCATACTCAGAAAGAGTTGGGACATGTAGAATACATGATAGGGATCGAATCTTCTTTTGAGGCACTTCAGCTGTGTTACAGTTTGTGCTTTCTCCCATAGTTAGTAAGTATAGGCCTATTCAGTCAGCCTGAAAATAGAGAAAACGTTAGCAATAGCTAACTAACTAGCTACCATCACTAGCTAGTCAAGAAAATCCATGCAGACTCAATTTCTGTATGATAAAACTGTAGAGGAAAATTATGTGTTGGCTCGTCCACGACTAAATATCTTAATAAAAGGGTTGAGTGCTTACTTTTTTCCTTCTTATTCTTGAAATTGTTCCAAAAGAGAGAGCAGTGGGAGACAACCATCTTACAGTCGCAAGGTGCAGGCCCACTGTCCAAACCAACGCCAAAGTTGGCAGTTGATGTTCAGTCACCCACAGAATTTGGCCCTTTTCTGTATTTTTCTTTTTTTTGTCCCCCTCCCTCCCAGAAATAGTCAGCATGGTTTGAAATGTTATTAGCAGGCTAGGCCTACCCATTTTATTGAATTCCTTGAGTCTGAATTGTATAGAAACATGTTTACTTCAAAAGCAAAGCTAATTTCAATTTCTTCAGGTTCAGGATAGTATAAACTGTTAAAAATAACCCCAAGGGGACATTAGCCTATATTTTAGTCTGCTATGTATAATTTTAAAATAGACACTTAAATAGTTAAGAAAAAACAGGTAGTGAAAAAAAATCACTATGTGCGCATGAAAATAGGAAAATATAGTTGTCAAATGTACATTTTTTTGCTGTTTTTGTCCAGAAATAAAGTTGTCAAATGTCAAAAATAATGATTCCATTGAATTCCTTGGGTCAGAGTTGTATGGAAAAGTGTGTTTATTTGTCTCTGTTTGTTGTTTACTTCAAAAGTTACACCACTTTCTATATCTTGTTTTTCTTTTTCCGGTTGGGGATAGGTGCAACAAGGAAAATCCAGGGGGTACGTGTGGACCCCTATTTCCATCTAGACTCATTAGTCTGACAGCTTTAGCTCCTTCCTGTCCAGTGAAAACCATGTATCTCCAGATGTGTTGATGCTGAATGTTTGTGATAAACTGAAGGATGAAGTGTTCCTTTATGAGCTGAGAAAATTCTCCTCCTTCTGAAGCTAAATAAACTCTTTAAAAACCCTCTTGGATCAGCTGAAAAGTCGTCGTCACAGCTGAAAACAGGCTGTTTTTATGCCTCTTTACTGCACTATGGAAACAGTTAAATAAATATAATAAGGTTTTGAGTGCAGGGCTTTAACATGTAGTGGAGTATTTTCAGTGTGGTATTAGTACTTTTACTGGCACAAGCCTCTCTTCACTGTGTTACCAGTTCAGTAAATTCTTTCATTTGTTTTTAAAGCGCTGCATAAACACACACCTGCTTACATCTCTGAACTGCTCATCCCCTATTCCTTCTCCTGACCCCTCAGATCCCAGAGCCAGTTAAAAACTAAAGGCGATGGAGCATTTTCTGTTCTTGGTCCTAAACTGTGGAACAGTCTCCCACTTAGTTAGATCTTCCTCCTCTATTGATACGTCTAAAACCCGTCTTAAGACCCATCTCTTTTCTTCAGCCTTTAAATCATCATCAGGAGGACACACCTGACCACACAGTTTTCTCTGTGGTTCATTTTGTTGTATGTGCGGTGCTTTTTGTGTTGTGATGTTGACCTGACTTGAGTAAAGGATCTGAATACTTCCTCCACCACTGTGCGCTCATGATTTGATCTTTACTGACCACCTTGCTCTGGTTTGGGAACGCAGATGTTGTTCTTCTCCAGGGAGGACTGTGTTCAACATGTGTCTTCTGGAAAACAGAAGAAACACAAGTTAAGGGAAAAACAGACAGAAAACTGAACTATTGTTGCTGCAGGTGAGATGGATGAAGACCACACACACAAAATGTCCCACAGGTTTCCAACATCACCTTCATCCTCGCTCTGGTCAACAACCAGGGCAGGCAGCTTCCTGCTTTAAAGGATAAAGAAAGATTCAAATAAGTACCTGAAAAATAGGCGTTCAAAGATACTGTCTTTATTTGTACTCACCATGTGTGTTTGTCCTTTGCTGTATCTGTATATTATTGGATGAAAAACAGGTCTTTTATAAAGTGCATCATGTCAGCTGACCAGCAGATGGCGCAGTAACACCACAGATCAGACCTCAACAGTCCCTGACTGAAAGCTTTGTAGTAACAAGTCAACACTTTATTGATTCACTCACATCAGTCAGCAGTTTTATACATTTTTCACCTTTTTATGTACATTCATTTTGTTTTACACAATAAATACAAATAAAAACCAGAAAAAATCTTAAATACAAAATGACTGAAACAGAAACAGGTAGAAACAGTTTGTCTTTGTGCAGGACTCTGGTTGACCTTTGACCCACAGGCGGTTCAGGCTGGGTCGGGGTCGGACCGTGCAGAGCGTGGTTTGGTGATGGTGCTGTGGCAGATCTGATAACAGGTTTGGCTCTCTCCCTTGTCGTCCTCTGCTCGGTACTCTGTCAGACACAAATCCATCCACGGACGCTCACCTGACGTGAACACGAGATCGACATCACACACCTGAACTCACTTTCAGCACTTTGACAGAGAAATGCTGAATGACTCATGATGATGAATGTGGTTAACCTGTGTTTGACTCTTTTTTTGAAGCCCGGTTGCCAAAAGAAAAGTGGGCATTGTACATTTCTACCAACCACAGATACATACCACGGATGTACATTTCATACGTATCATATCCATGTTTCTAAAGTGACCTATTATACGAGCTGACTTGAGAACTTGGTGAGACGCCTGCCAAGCTGCAGACCACTGCTCGAGACCAACACACAAAAAACCAACTGTTTTTTAGCGAGTCTTTGCTGTTTCTGGCGCTTTTTAGCCATCAAAAATGGGTGCTTTTCATTGACCCGTCACTCTTTTCATGGATAGTGCCACAAAAAGCTGTTGTGAGTTAGCAAGTCATTGCTGTGTTTCCAGCGGCCCCAATCTGTGGGGTTTTCTAGCGACCCGTCACCGTGTTTTCAGCAGGAATAGTGCCACAAAATGCGGTTGTTTTTTACCAAGAATTTGCTGCATTCCCTGTCAGTACAGTGCCACGAAAAACAGGTATTTTAAGCCAAAACATGATCTTTTCTGAACCATACCTATGTGGTTTCTGTGCCTCAACACAGCCACATGTTACACACAGAGTTGTTGAAAAGTAAAACAAACTTTCTGCAGCACCAGTCGAACACATCTGTAGTTTGCAGAAATGTACAACGCCAACATTTATTCTATCGACTGTGTTTCTCTTTCTACGTCTGATTGTCTCTGTTTTTATTCGCAGACAAAAAGCAGGTCCAAACTGGGAACACTGCTCCGCCTGCTTCTTCTTTCATGTGTGATTGACAGTCATTAGTTTAATTGGTGCTGATAGGAGGTGTTGGACAGTGCAGGAGTATTTACAGGGGAAATGTGCTGGATGTAAAACAAACTGAGCTGTAAAATATTTCGTTTTTATCCCTGCTGTTTATTGATTTTTAACATTTTATTGTTGCAATTTTTATATTACTAAAATTCTATTTACTGTTTTAATTAATCTATGTATGTTTTGTCTGAGTTGTTTAAATTTTTGCCACATGAAACAGTTGATTTTTTTCCCTCTCCATTCAGCTGGATAACAACAACAACACAAAAATGGTCGCCACCATGTGGTAGGAGGTGTAGCTCTACAGACAGAGCAGCAGTCTGCAGCGTCTTACATTCCTGGTCATTAAAACTAACAGTAATCCTGAAACTCTCCAGTAAGTCACCATGTTGTAGACTGCTGAAGAAACCGATTCATTTAATTATCGTTTCATCAGAGAACAAAACCTTCTGCTGTTTTTGTGCTTCAGGTTCATCTTATTTGTGTGTGATGTCGTTCACAGAATGGTTTGTCTTTCTTAATTCACAGACAAGATGACCTGTGTACTTATTTGTACCAAGTAATCAGATTTTGAAGCCAATTATTCTGTTAAAATGTCACTGAAGCTGCTGCCACACTCAGCTTCACTCCAAAGTCGTCGTTTCAGCCTCTGTGAGTCTGACAGACGTACCAGTGCTGCCCCCTGGAGGACAGAGGGAGTCCATCATTTGACGGATGCTGTTCTGAGCCTCCTGATTGGATGCCACGTCCTCTGCGGACACGCTGAAGAACCTCTCCTGATGAAAGACACAAACCATCATCATCATCATCATCATCATCACTCATTAGAGTAAAAATCACTCTCCACAAACAGTTTCAGGAGGTTTCATCAGGTCATGTTCTTTTACTTTATGATGTTTATTTGATGTCAGTTCTCTCAACACGATCGAATCCTCTCTGCAGGAAAGTTGTCATGGACTTTATTTATCAAACTGCATCAAAACTTCTCACTGATCTCATCACAGATTCGCAGGATGATCGAAGCTGTTCGCAAACTTCTCATTCTTTGTTTTTTACATTAATTGTGTCTGATAACCAAAACATGAAAAGCTTAACTAGTAAAAGTGATATGTTGGTGTCTGTAGATCTGGCCATACTTGGTTGTGTTTTTTTTTTAATGCTGCGCATGTGTTAACACGTTGGTGAAGATGTTTTCTTCATTTGCTTGTGTTTTGTATATCTGCGTGCAGTGTGTGCTGAGCTTTCAGAGCCACCGTAGGATTGTTTCTTTTTGTCGGTGTTACAGGCCTCAACAGGGCTTCAAATACTGATCGTTTTAATTTTCTATCTATCTGCTAATGTACAGAGCTGCAGGAATGAGTCCTAAAACATGCAAATGAGTTAGCATTTTAGCACTCCTGGTTCCTTCGTCTTGAAGTCAATGGGTTTTTGGTTAGCTGCCTGAAATAAGGTCTGTGGTTAACACAAGCTGAAGAGAGTTTGTTCTACGGCATAAAATACGTCAGTAAATATCCCACTGTGAATTTTGAAGCCTTTGTGAGTCTTCAAAACGGTGGTTGCTAACAAGTAGCTGAATGAGGCGCTGAACATGGCTTTACAGTGTCATTGAGGTGGTGACATTAAGTCATGTGACCATAGTGTATTTCCTTTGAAGCCTAATGTTTTTACCTCTGGGGATTGCATTCATGCTTCAAAATAAAAGTGTTGTTCATTTGTGAAGATTATGTTGCTGAATGGAAAAATCTCACAGGCTTTTTGACGAGGTAACCAGGGTGATGCCCTGGGTGTTTCGGGTCTTAGATCATCAGGCACCCTCACTTGGGCGACCCAGCCAGGGCTGATCAGTCCCTGCACACTACACCATGGATCTGCCCTCCTGATCCACAGCCAGCTTGAGGCTTTTTCTGCAGCCTCATTGATGTTTCTGGTGACTTTCCTCTCCTGCAACTCTTTGATGCCAAGGAGCCTGAGTGCCCAGTGGACAGACTGCCCTCTGCAGCCCACCTCGATTGGCTCACAGCTTTACCATGGTTAACTTTTTTTCTATCTGCATATGACATGGTGAATACAGCTTAAGCAAATAACAGCTATATTTCCATTTTATTCCTGTTATTTTCTGTTAACTACCATAAACTCCTGTAAATTCCCATAGAAAGTTTCCACCTTAAATACTCCCAGAATTTTACAACCCTACACAGAACAAAGAATAACCGTAAATCGTTAAAATTGAGGAGATCAAACTGAGGACTATTTGGTATTTTTGCTATAGAAATTACTTTAACGATGAACCTATTACGACCTCATAGTTGAACATAAATTTTCGGATCATCAATAATTCGATAAATCGATCTTTTCGGCTCTAAACCACAATTTAAGTTATTAAGTCCAGCAAAAACTTCTTGTTTTGTACGACGACTGCAAAAAGTTTCACACTCAACTGGTGTCATTTGAACCTTTCTTTAAAATAAGATAAGTTTATTAATCCCCAGAGAGGAAACTGGTTTAGTCGCCCACACACAGTGACAAATATACAAACAGGTCACAGCAGACAACATACACACAGTATTGCCACCACAACAGTAACACAAACTTCAGAATGCTTCATATCATTCTGGTAAAAGATGAGAAAGGTGGTGATAAACTGAGATTTTCTACTTATGATCTGATCTAAACTGATCCACAGTCAGCAGTATTTTACATGTGATCAGAAACTCACGGCGTCTCTCCACAGGAAGGCGTCCAGCGTGTCGGTGGCGTCCTGCAGCTCGAGCTTCATCAGCAGGACGAATTGCAGCAGCTGAACGCCGAGAACTGCAGACGAGAAGAGACCAGAGACGTGTGTGTGATTGTGTGATTTATTTCGGAGAAAAAAAATCCTGCGGCTAGAACAGGTCTGAGATCAGCCAGGAGTTGTTCATGAGCTTTTACAAACCTGCTGAATCAGGAAGAAGGAAAACAAGCTCCACTTAAAACTCTGTGTGAAGAGCGAGCGAGTGGTTTTAAAACTGAAGACAACACGCCGAAGCGTCAAAGAACAAGCAGCAAACAGCACAACAAAACCCAAAGATATTCAGTTGATGCTGATATAAAACAGAGAGAAGCAAAAAATCCTCCTGCTGGAGAGTCTCCAACTGATCAGGTTGTGAAAACGTTCACATGAAGTCAATGCTTCTTCCATCAAAGCTGCATTCATTCATGTTTTGGTCACTCAGCACTGACATATAAATTAGAGTGTGAGCCGTTTCCTGTGTAATCTCCGCTGCCACCGTTTCCTCCGACAGTCCAGAGATTCAAACCAAACTCTCCTCTCACCTTCTGCAATGATTTTCTCATCGATCAGCTCGACTCCTTCAGCACATGAAGGTTCCCTCACTGCAGCGTCTGAGCACCTCTTACACCTGAAACAAAGAAGAGGATACATTATCAGCTGTCGGCTACAGGCCTCCTTTACTGTGAATAAAACAGTTAATGTACAGTAAATATGCACAGACTCAATTGTTCCCAGTGACACTTTCCTTTCACAGTTAGAGACAA